TGTGGAGGGGGTGAACTGGGACCAATAAGAATGAACTGGGTACCAATGGGCACCAATTTGCCCCCGCATTTTGGCTTCACTTCCCTCGCCTAAGTTACGACTTTGTTCTCCATCCCCTTATATTCTTACGTCCATAGTTTTAATGAACTGAGAAAATTGAACTGAACTATAAACAAAAGATTTGTAGACGGCAGAGGCGCTACCAGTCGCCGCGCAATAGACCGTGTTTGCAATAATTACGAAATAAATTACTCCAACACAAATTAGGTATTAATTTTTGCAGAAACTTGGTGCTATACAGGGTGTCTGATAATAACCGCCTAAAATGTCGTGGGCTGGTAGAGCAGATTAAACTGAACAGAAAAGTCCTCTACCATTTTGCAAAATTCGCAATCGTTAACGAGATATTAATTTTTGAAGATTGGCGAATAAACGCGTATCCGTCCGGCCCACCGCTGAATATCAGTTTAATCTGCTCTATCAGCCCACGAGATTTTAGGCGGTTATTACCGGATACCCTGTATAACATACTCTGTAATAGCGTAACATAGTTTCAGAAAATAATACAATAGAAATACAAGATTCAAGAATACGTATATACACTACTCCTGAAAAGTTTCCGGACAGTAGCAAAATTTTTATGTTTGAAGTTTTAAACCATTGAATTTATAACTATACAGCACTGTGCTAAATCAAAGATTAGATGATTTTATCATTTTAAGATATACTTTAGGATACTTTATATCGATTTTAAGTTTAATACATGCCTATTACTGTAAACTCTTAAATCTGAGAGCATGTTTGCCATACTAAAAATTGCAAAGTTTGACGGAATGTACGGACTTAATAAAATTTTTCTCGAGGACACCGTTTGCAGCGTCATAAACCTCGAACCTTCTTTTTTAATTAGAAAAAAAGTCGCTACGATTTTTTTCCGCAAAGTTGACAGCATTTTAAAGCAATCCTGGTATTTTTCTCATATACGTCGGCATTATCCAATGTGCACTATGAGAAGGTTGGCGATCGGATTTTGCACATTGTATGTTTTAGAAAATTTAATAATTTTTTAGGATGCTTTATTTATGGCTAAGGCTGTACTGATTGTGAGAATGGTAATAAAAGATTGCAATTTTATAATGTATATAAACTAATCCTTTCAGTTGGCGTGATTTCACTTTTTTATAGCAAAGATAGATTGAAACTTTATGTTTTGCACGATACTTGATAACTATTTTGATTGGAGCCGACACTTCACGCTCCTTTTTTATTATATCCAAAAAATAATTTTATATTATAAGTATATAGGTAGAGAAAAAAAAGTTTGCTAAAGAAACACTCACTTTCTCGTAATCTAAGCGTTGTACTTTATTAATACTGATAAAAAAATTACTTGTTTAGATAATTAAAGGGATAAAAACCCATAATTCATGTTATTATTCACGTCGTGTGTGACTTGTTTTTATATAAAAACAATTAAAAATAAATTTTACAAATGCGAAAATAACACTCTTATTATTTTCTTTTGCAAATAAGAACGGGTAAAATAATCAAATTTTGACCTAAACAATGGAATCTTTTTTATCTATGTTTTCTTATACATAGTTTTTGAAGCTGAATCATTTGCAAATATTATTTTTAAACTGATATAATTTTAAATTGATATTATTTTAAACTGATATGGGAAAGTGTCCAAAATTACAATCCAAATAGCACAGCTTAAATTTATCGAAATCTAAACAAAAACTTAAGCATATGTGACACTTTTCTTATCCTTTTTTTATTATCCCTTTTTTTTTTCTATCACTTTTTCCTCCATCTCTCTACTTTTATTTAATGTAGGATCATCATCGTCATTATAATATCCTTCAATATTGAACTATAATTATCTAGATACCTTGCTGATTCATGAAAAGTGATTCAGGAATCACTTTTAAGTACTAAACATTAAAAAAATACCATGTATGTATAATGATATCAAACAACAATTATATAATTACTCGGGTTTTTATTGCACGAAAGACCAATGATAGCTGAAAGATCAGAAGAACTTAATTTATATAATAAGAATATATAAAAAATATTTCACAGATTTTGTGTGACATGGCTTAATTTGAGGTTAATAAGAGTAGAGGGATGGAGTAAAAGGTAATAGAAAGAGAAAAAGAGTTACGCTTCGGATTTTTCTTCATATAGCAACCGGAAGTATTTTATTTGCCGTCTTATCAGGAGAATATATTTCGTTTGTATTTTACAGAGTATTAAAGGCATATTTTTTATTTTTACATTTTTTTCCTTACGGAAAATAACTATTAAGATCTCAATACTTAGTATTAGTAAATACTAAATTGGCCAATATTTTTTTGGCCAATACTTAGTATTGATGAATACTTAGTACTAGTAGTGACGAATACTTAGTAGTAATATTGACGAATACTTAGTACTAATAGTGACGAATACTAAGTGGTAGTATAGACGAATACTCCATGTGGGTTGCTACAATATTTTAACAAAAAAATTTTTTTTTTATTTTATAATTACATATTATTATTTGTTTACGGTTAAGAGTTTAATTTGTTTTGCATGTTTTTTATTATTACTAATTACAATTTATACGCAGGTTTATAATTTTTAAAAATACATCGAGATATTCGAGATTCGAACCTAAGATCCCTAGCACTTCAGACTTGTACGCTAATGCTGAGCTAATGATACTTTGTACAAAGGAGATATATATTCTTTCCAATGTGATCTTACATTTTTGTTTTTATTTATTATATATTTAAAAAGCTCTATTGTTCAAAAAATGAGATTTCAATAAAATCGCAAATTTTGTCTGATTAAAAAAAATCAGTTATATAGATAGATTTTTTTTTTAATTCCCCTCAATATTCAAGTCAAGTATTGATGAATACATTTTGATTAGTATTAGTATGCATCAATACTTGCTGACTGTCAATATTCAGTATTCATCAATATTTAACTACCTCAATTAATACATAATTATAAATGTACATACAGTAATCTCTAATACTTTAGTATTCATTAATACTGACTATCAATACTCGGTATTCATCAATATTTATAACTATTATAATCAAATATATATAAGTATTGATGTATACTAATCTCTAATAATTATAAGTATTTACTAATATTGACTGTCAATATTCAATATTCATCAATATTTAATTAGATAAAATACATAAGTATTGATGTATACTAATTTCTAATACTTAATATTCACCAATATTGACTCTCAATACTTAGTACTCATCAATACTTAACCTCCATCAATACTTAAATATTCACCAATACTGACTTTCAATACTTAGTATTATAATCTTAATACTAAGTATTAAAACCTCAATACTCAGTATTGAGCTTCAATACTTATTTTCCGTAAGGGTTTGAATGTACCACGCATTTATTTTTTTGTTTGTCGTAAATCAGCTATCTCTTTATCACGAACAAAGAAACATAAAATTTTACGTACATTTTTAGACCTATGAATCTACACAAAGCTCGTTTTACTAGTTTATCGCTGTCACGACATTTATTTTCTCGTAAAAGAATTAACTATATAAGCCTAATGGCATTACTTCTTCAGATTAGGTGCCAGCAACATGGTTTCGTTCAGCATTTTCGGCGATTATTTATCGACCGCTCTAGTCATCGGCTTAAATGTTCTTGTACTCGTAGACGCAGATCCGACACTGAAGTTAATTAATGTGGTAAGTACAATAAAATATCTACATTTTTGATGATCACTAGAGAATTTTATAAATGTTAGTCCAAATTATTTTAGATTTTTGAATGAAAAAAATTCTCATAATATTTTATAACATCTTTTCAAAGAATTTTTTTATATTTTAAATTTCTGAAGATTGCTGAAAAATACCTTAAATTTCTTCAAATTTTGAGTTTTTTCAGAAATTATAGAATGAGAAATAATATGTATAAATTTATATAGTCTCTTAATAGGTGTATCACCGTTCATGGGTAGATAGAATGGACTAAACTGAATCGAAAAGTCCTGTACCATTTTGCAAAATTCGCAATATTTAACGAGATATTAATTTTTGAATATCGCCGAATGAGCGAGTATCCGTTCGGCGAG